AGGATCTCGTTGGAAAAAGGCTAAATCCCAAGGTCAATATTCGTTCCGCTCTCCCCCGAGTATTGGCTCGACAATATAGCTTCGAGGAGTCTATTAATGATTCGATCGAATTACTTGAAAATATTACCAGCGCTAACTCCTATCTTTCCTGTCAAGTTTAGTTTGACTACTCTGTGCACTATAATTTTATTTATTTGTGGAATGTTCTGGACTAAGAAATCAGCGAACTGGAGTAGGAATGCATCATTTACAACAGTCACAAATTGTATTTTGAGTAAAGTCGACCAGGGCTGACGATGCTTTCCAAACTTCAACGAGGTAAATGAGACGTTGGCAGACAGACCTGATGACAACAACAACTCATTCGAGCTGGCAGCACTGCCTTCCAAAATACTTGGTGATTTCTTAGCATTAATTAATTGGCACTTTCTTCTATGGATGTTATACTGTTTACTAAAATTGCGCATGAAAAATGCCTCCTGTTGGGTGATTCAACACCTCACCTCCCCCATTATTTCTATTGCTTGATGCGGCTGGTATAGGAGATTTTATATTGGTCAATGCGTTACTTGGGACGTTTATTTTTGGCTATCGTCAATGTTGATGACATTGCCATTACCAGTAACGTTAGGATTACCACCGGGCGATTTTGGGAATGTATTTGTAAAAGGAATTGTTATGGTTGATTCATATTGATAGTATTTATTGGATTCGTTGGAGTAAACATTGTGGCGTCAAAGAGGTCGCGGTGGGGTGGTTGAGGAAAGAGTGACATGCATGTAATTCTTCGTGCAAGATTAGCCTATTGGCATCAAAAGGCTAGACTAAAACTGAAGAGAAATCCGCGGAGGAGAGAGAAGGGGAAAGAGTGGGTTGCGATGAGATAGGAGGGAGGGGATGGTAATGGGGAGATTTTTTATTACATATATAATAATAATGTGTCTTCTTTATCACATCCATCATATTTTCGCTGAGCTTATTCAAGTTGTGATTTATTATTTGTAAATTGGAAACACGAAAGAGGTTCTTGAGCTTCTCCTAGCGGCAGACGAAATGCAACTCGAAGAATTAATCAAACACGATAATGGGAACATGGACTATGTCGAACTTATTCTGTTCCATCGAATATTCGGCTTTTACATATTAATGTTAACATTGTTCAGAGGGACGATCCGGCAATTCTCTTCAAGACGATATGGACACTCATAAATAAGAGACGGTTAGAGTGAAAGTATTGCTTTGAGTGACTAAATGAGTTAGCGATACCTGTATCGGAAGAACATGTTCTGCGTTACAGTGAGTGTGTTGCGAGAATCGATTCAAAAATTTTAAGTGTAATTTATTCATTAAATGATGTGATGTTTATTTCTAGACGTTTATTTTCACAATCATGATCGACACTGTTTAATATTTGTTATCCAAATTAGTCTAAACATAATGGCAATCTGGGATATCAATCGATCTGGCAGATGTTGGGCAGCTTTTCTTTTTTCAAATATCCATTGTAAGAAATATTTAGCTTCTCTGTTATAAGCCTTAACAACTACTAATAGTATATGCTCAATCAACGACTATGTCTTCAAAGTCAGGTTCGTATGTTAGCAAATAGACAAGACATTCCAAGTTGCACCCGTGGGAAACACATTAAGTGAGAATGTGCGTTTACAAAAGTTTGTAACATCAACAAATTTAACAGATGCAAGCGAGATTGGTCATTTGGGAGATTTTTTTTGTAAGTGTAACAATACTGCGGGATGTAAACAAATACTATATAAACGACCTTTGTCCGTAAGCTTAAGCATAAGTATAAGTATAAGCATAAGCATAAGTATAAGTATAAACTATTAAAAACTCAAAGGCGATTTTGGCAGCGATCATTTCTAAATGTAAAAAAAAAAAATTTAAATGGAAAGATCTACATTTCAAAGCGGATGCAATTGGTGGATGCTGAAGCACGAGACAAATAATAAGGGGGTGGATCTTTAAATTATGCTAAATTCCAATTGAATATTTCTTATTTATAAGTATCAATCAAACAAAATATCATTATTAACATATCACAATGTCTCCAACCAATCAAGATATTCTGAAAGCCATTTTCGATCATTCAATATGCTACAGAAGTTTAACAATACCAGCTATGTTATGATTAACCATGCTAGGCTATTATGGACGCTAAAGATCCAGATGTTTATATCAGACAAGACGAAATGCGACCAAAATATTTCCAAACGAGGGATCATACCAAAAAAAGAATAATAACATCCGCGTGAAATATCGTGGTGATCTCCGTGATAAACTCCTCGATCTGTATCATGAATTGGCTAGAGCGTGAAAAGAATACACCTGCAGAAAACCCGCTCGATGAAAAGAAGTTCTTAAATTACGTGTAATAGAGGAACTTAACTCATTATAGCTACTTCTTCCATTCAACACGATATATTTTACAGTATTTTCCTTTATTTTCGAGTTTAAGGAATCCTAATTTTTAGATCAGTCGTAATATGGCCCATACCTTCGATAATAAACCCATCAGTATGAACCCCTTTAACTCTATCGCCAAAATTCATGATCGTTTCAGAAATTAATTTACGGCCACAAACGGACCAATTCGTGGCTCTCCGTAAATAAATCCGATGGATCAGTTGTAGTTATTATTTCTTTCGCATTTAACATATATCCTTCGGGAACATTATATAATAATAATAAATCATTTGGTTTCAAAACAACTTTATATTTTTTCCGTTCACAGAGGGCTCTCCAAATAGATGTGAGAATTAATTTAGAGATACACACTTGTACCAAAGAGGGTATCTATAAAAGGTCCAAATATTACCGATCCAGCAATACATTTTGATCTTCATAGATTAATGCATCTCCATCGTTAATTAGCGTAATCATATTTCGTATAGGAAATTTCTAGTACAATGCGGTTTATTTTCTCAGTAGGTGTTCCAGCGATCTATAAATACTCAATTTAATCCAATTCGGGAGTTCATTTAAAATCGTAAATTTACCAGCACTTACTGGCCACAATTTATGGAATCCGCCAATATGGATGGATACATTGATGTAAAATTATATGATTCAGCCTCACCTTGAATCCGTCGTTTGCATTATAATTATGATAGTGCGCTAGAAGATTGCGACAAATCATTGGAGATTGAACCCGATCATACTTGGACATTGAGCCGAAGGGGAGATGTTTATTATAGTATGATGAACCAAACCAAATATGGGCTTTGAACAAAAGAGGAAATCTCTATTACTGGTTTGAAAGATGCGTTAGTTGATCTTACAAAGTCGTTGAAAGCCAAACCTAAGAATACACGCTGCCCGATCCAGATCTACCAGTCGAGACAAAAGAAATCAGCCACCTAGTTAACCAGTTTAAAAGCAAGTCTGTTAGTAACCGATTATTAACGTAAAGTACATTTTCGTCGCATCTCCTGCTGCAGGCTCATGCACGTACTTTCCCTTTTTTACGTTTTCCTTGCTTTTTATTTGATGTTTGAGTTCTTCATTTCCTAAAATTGCTTTCGCAACTAACCTTCAAATACCCATTTTCCGTAATTTTAATGTAGATCTTACCCGACCGTTTTATCTATATATACTATATATATTCATAATGCATAACGGTAATGCATAACGACTGGCATGACCTCCCCCACCTTACCTCCCAAGGAGTGGCCAGTGCTTTTATAATTAAATAAAAAATAAAATAAAATAATAATTTGCAGCTTATGAAAAAGAAAAAATCGTTGACTCTGCTACTATATCTGTTCATGCTTATCAATTCTTAACAAGATTTTTGGTCGCTTCGTAACTTTAAAAATGCCTATCCTTCTGCTTATTGTCGTACCGTGATGACTTATCATTATAACTAACACTCTACTTGTATTTCTATGTTGCTATTTCATCACTATCACAAAAAATCTGTTTATGCGACCTTACTCAGAAAAATGGGTATACCCCATCAAATTCTTCAATTTCCACGTGCATATGTGTGTCTTTCCTTATTACTCATAAAAACGTACTCCCGCCTATTGCTTTATTTAATTACACGTAATCAGATTGCATTTGCTATATTTCATTCGTGTTTGTAGATAAACAAACGAACACATCTAGTCCATTATCCATATATGGCCTCCATTTGTTTGCTTAATTTGTATTGAATCCATCTGTCCTTTTCTTCTGGCTCCATTTGATTTGCTTAATCCCTGATCTGTCTTTTCCTTCTCGATTTTCCTTTAGACACTTCCTGGCGTACACACAATTATTGCTCCGTTTTTCCTATATCACCCTTCCGACGCTCCACGAAAAACTTACGCAAACTTTATGAAGAAGAATATGCGCAATTTCTCTGCGTTCCCTGCTCACGTCTATTATATCCACACACCGTCAAATGGTAGTTAAAAATGACAACTTCACCTATCCTTTTACAATCAAGTTTTCCACAATTAAAATATTGTTATTGTCGTCTTTTTCAATTTCGCCTCTGAGCCGATACATATTCGATTCGATGTATACGTGCCGAAAGATAAACCAGACTGGCGGGCAACAATGACTTTTGCATTAGATGACATACTCAAACTAGTCGGCACGATAACATCGCTACATGATAATTACTGACTGTAAGTAATTAGCTTATGACTTTTCTAACACATTATTAATTATTCTATACCTCGTCCACTTACTTACTACTCCAATTCTCCAGATTAACCCATTCAAGTGCCATGTCGCTGCATAGAATTCATCCAATATACCACACGCACACACGTACGCGGATCCGCACAATCGCCCGCTGCCCAAGTACGAAATAATATCACCACGTTTACCTCTCGTACCACACAATACGTAAGGACAGAACACAAATTACTCCATTTATCCGTAAACTTGGACAATTTAGTGAAACGATAATTAGTTATAAATACAAAGTCGTAGATAGTAGCTAAAAATTATCGTTCCGATCATTCGAATCATATCTTCAGCAAGACGTTGCTAAAAGAATAGTTCTTTATATTCTAATAAAAATCCGATTCAAATATACTTAATTCATTTATTCCCTGATAAAAGATACTTGCATCGTTTGGCGAAGTGTTAAAACGCTCTCCCCGTCAGCGGTGAATAGAATTAATCATTGCCAATTAATTCTATTTAGTACTTTGCATTTAGGATTATTGTTTAATTATCACTAGTACGGAAATTGCTGAGATACTCGAGTTTAAACAATAATCCAGGGACAGCGTATACAAAAGCGATAATATACATCGTGAGGATTAAATCCTGTTTAAAAGGTCACTAATTGTACGATATTAGTTTAAAGTAGGAAGAGCAAAAGCTTCCGTTGGAAACGAACTAAATCCCAAAACAGCTAGTACACCGCTGCTCTTCCAGGTGTAAGCTAGTCCGACATTTGTCACATGACATTAGCTTTTCACGCCTCATAATATAATGTGCTCGACAAAAGTTGTCATTCAGAGAGAGAACATCTCCTATCCAAATAAGTTCAACGAATATATTATAAGACATTGCCACTGACATATATTGAGTGCCTCTGCAGAAAAGATTTTGTGCTCTTTTTATCAAAAGCGATCAGAAATACACTAAACAAGTCATGTCAAAAGCCCAACACAACGAAAAATTTAAACACACTATCCATAGAGAAAGTCACGACTTATCACATGCTTGAATACAATCTTCGCATGTCAAAATCCCTCTCACAGATTTAATTCCCGAACCATGTCGTAGGAAAAAATGAATGATTCCACAACATTACACTAACAAAATAAACATCAACAAGAATTTACTACTGATATATGTTACTAACTAATCTTTTTACTTATACACTTGCACCTCTACAAAAACCACTACATCCGTCATTACTATCATAATATGTAGCCGTGAAAACGAAGAGATGAACCTCTTAAGTATTTATTGCTCTAGTTACCATAATAAGATTGTGCGATTTTCGTTTGTCAAAATTAACATTACAATTATAATGCCAAAATCAAATAGACAGTCTCGTGATGCCATCAACAATCATCGGAAGCAAGCAAAGGACTTGAAGCAATACCAGCACACACTTTTTGTATAAAGGGTGAGTATACATGCTTAATAGTGATGAATTTGAAACCAAATACACTATAACAACTTGTTGAAAATGCAAAAGAAGCATCAAGTGCTAACGAACTTGAACTTTCGCGATA